ATCTGAGGATATCGTAGGGGCTCATGTCCGGCGGCGCAACCCATTCTGGAGCAGCGGCACTGAGGCCCGTGGAGGAAGCGGTGCTTTTTGCATCTTCGTTGACCAGCCAATCGACGTTGTCACTGCCGAGATCACCGTATATCTCGGGGGCAGGACCACGCTCCGAGAAGGAGTAAGTATTGAGATTGGGGCTGTGCGGGATGGGCAGCACCTTTCCCAGGCGCGGAGACGGGCGAGGCGAGGTGAAGGGAGACGCCGTCAGGGACCTGGGCGCGCGAGGGAATCCCCCACGGGGTACGGGGAAGCCAGACTGGGCAACGGGGCTGGACCCGGTGTGCGAAGGGGAGGAGAGCGGCGTCGCTGAGCGAGCCATCTGCCACGGCGCGGGCGAGGAGCGGCGAATGACCGTGTGCCGGACGGGGGGCTGCGAGGCATCGGCCATGGAGGAGCTGCGGTGCCGCCAGAGGACGTCGAGCACCGCGTTCTCGAGGGCGGAGCCGGCCAGGGACGACTGGTCGCGCAGGAAGGCCTCCAGCTTCTCGGCCTTTTCCTCCTCGTTGTCGTCCTCATTGTTCAGGATGTGCAGGCACAGCTCGTACGTTTCTTCAGACACCATGGCGAGGGTCTCGTCGCCGTCGGCCGGCCGTTTGCAATGGAAGGAGGAAAAGGGCGGGGTGTTTCAAGAAGAGTTTCTATAGAGCTCGCGGGAACGAAGATGGCAGCAGAGACAGGCGGCGGACTGCAGGGCTATCACGAGCAGTGCAGCAGGACCATCATGAGCTGGACTGGACGCGAGAGAGAGAGAGGCTGCTGGATCGAGGGAGCAAAGGGGCTCTTCACACGGGGGCTGAAACGAGAGTGAGCAGAGGATCCTGGCAGCTGGGGCGACTGGCAAGCATTGCTGGGGACCTACCAGGAGCTGGACGGCAGCTGGACGAGGAGCAGACGCGCAGGAGACACTGTGACGGCCGCGCGGGCTGGTGGTGGAAGCTGGAGTCGAGAAGCTGAAGTCGAGGTTGAAGAAGTTGAAGTTGAAGTTGAAGAAGTTGTAAGGTGAAGATGCGGCTGGCGAGGGAGGCAGCGAGCTAACTAGCTAAATATAAGGAGGCCGGCCAGCAGCAACACAGGACAGAGTGAGAGAAGCAGCACACCAGAAGTGAGCCTGTCCTCCTGGCTCCTCCTGGCTGTTTGTCTTTTCTGTCTATCTCTGCTCTCCTGCTGCTATCTAGATCTACAGCTGCTGACCGGCCAGGCGTTGCTACTTCTTGAGCCTGCACCAGCGCCGCAGAGGATGGACAGTGTTATTCATTCTGTCTATTCAGTGTCTATAGTGTATAGTGATCAAGACTGAGATCCGGACTCTCTCCCCCTCTCTCTTATAACTATCACTATCATGGCCTTCGTTGCTGTCTATCAAATGAACCCCTTAAAGGTCTAGGCCAGATGGAGCCCCCTTTGTGGCTGTGCAGCCATAGAATCTTGTGAAAAGCTCGCAGATGCACTTCTGCAGCCATCTGATACGTATCTATCCGTCTATATCTGTCTATATTATTACCCTCTACCCATATCCATATTGCTGTATCTGTATCTCTATCTGTAGTGCTACGTGGGATGGGATGAGCAGCCATGGAGCCCCCGTCACCAGCTGGGCGGCCGCAGCGCTTCTCTGCAGCGTCCTCGTCCACCGTCTCGCGGCCGGCCCCGTCGAGCTCTGCTCCGAGATCCTCTGCTGGCTGGCCCTGCCGGCGCTCTTCAGGGCTGCAGGACGGTCCCTGGGCTCGCGGGCTCGCTCCTCGAGGGCTGGGGCTGGCCCCCTGAGCCTGCGATACTCGCCCCAGCGCTCCTCTTCGTCCCTGTCTGTCTGGACGGCCGCCCTTTGCATAGTCCTCTCCTGTCTCTTCAGAGCTGAGATCCGTCTGCTAGCGTTCTTCGTGAGTCCCTGAATGCATCTCTAATACCCTGTGTCTGCCTCTATATCCTATCTCTATGCTGTTACGTTCAAGGGAAGACTGACAGGATCAGCCGGCGTTGACTCCCTTGCTTCTGCTCGCTCAGCGACACTTTGGCTCTTCCACTTCTTTTGCTTCCTCTTCTTCTTCTTCTTCTGCTTCTGCTGCTGCTTCTTCTTCCTGGCTGTTTTACCCCCTGGCAAATACACTATGGGGCACTTTGCTGGTGGCTGTCTTGTTCATCATCACCCTGTCAGACTGGGACTTCAGGGGCCATGCCCTCTCGGCTCTCCCTGTCCTCGCCCTGTTTGGAGCCTACCTTACTTTCATGCCAAAGTCGGACAGGAAAAAGAAGGCTTCTCTGCTGCCAGACGTCAACGTTGAGGATGCCGTTCTTCCTGTCTCGCTGCGAGTTGTCCCGCTGCTGCTCGTCTCCCTGGCCGTGGAGGTTGCTCTCTTCGGCTGGCCCTCAGGGGGTGTCCTCGCCACTCTGATACTCGGCTTTGCAAAGTCTCTATCATGGTATTCAATCATCAAAGCAGTATGTTCACGGCTGCTGCTCCTCTTCCCTTCTTAATTGGCCATGTTTATGCTTACAATACACCCCAGGCTAGATATTCCTCCTGGTGCACGGCTGCTGCAACAGGCACCTTTGGCATCTTGTCAGCCCTTAGCCCCTTTATGCAGTCCTCTGATACCAAGGCTCTGTCCCATGTAATAGCATCCCTCTTTGCCTTGGGCCAGACCATCCACACGCTCCCAAGGCACATCTCAAACAAGTCGGCTCTCTGGATCTTCTCCCTGGTCTCTTTGGGTCCGTTCATGGCCAATATCATCGCCATCAAGTCCGCATACTCCTCACAGCTTGCTACCTACAGCAAGCATCCCGTCGAGACACTCATCCACAGGGGTACGAAAGACTTTGAAGAGCTTCTCGGCAGACAGTCTCAAAATTATACTGCTGCTCATGCCGAATATCAGCGGCGATACGGCATTGAGCCACCTCCAGGGTTCGAGGCATGGTACAACTTTGCCAGATCTCACCAATCCCCCATCATCGATGACTTTGATATGATACACACTGCCGTATCTCCATTTCTAAGACTGAGCGGCAAACAAGTACTTGAAACCATGGACCGCGCCCAGAGCACTGCTGACAGCGAACTTTGGCGCTGCACTTTTCACGGCACTAGAGCTAAGACTCAGTGTCACCATCCAAGCCGCTCCTTTGACAGACACATACAGCTGCTGTTTGATACCCTGCTGAAAGATGTACCGGGCGCCCTCCCAGATGTCAAGTTCCTCGTCAACCACTTGGACGAACCGAGAGTTATTGTCCCTCCGGGCAAAAAGGAGGTTGACGGCACTCAGTTCAAATTGACCAATCTGTCGAGACAGCCAGCTTGGGAGCCTATCACCAAGAATTGTCACTCTGAGGACAGCCATTCAGGCAACAGAGTGGAAACATACGGTCTTCCTTTCGTCACAAACCGAACAGAGGACATGAACCCATGTACCCATCCTGAATACGCTACTATGAACGGTCTCTTTATGAGTCCAACCTCTCTCCGTCTGTTCGAGGGGCTGGTACCCATCTTATCAACAGGCTCCCCACTCACCATGGGTGACATCTTATTCCCTAGTCCCGCCTACATTGAATCCGAATTTCAGTACGACGGCAAAAATGACGTTGAATGGCACAAGAAACGCAACAACCTCTACTGGGCGGGCTCCACAACCGGTGCATTTGCACAGACAGGCTCCTGGAAACACTTCCACCGCCAAAGATTCGTTACTCTCGCACAGAATCTGGAAACACGCAAACACAAGTATATCCGCGAGACTAACGGCGTGATCAGCAGCGTCAAGTCATACTTCCTCAACACCAGGCTATACGACGTTGCCTTCACCAAAATATTCCAGTGCAAGACTACATACTGCAGAGAGCAAAGGACTTTCTTCCCTTCCAAGCCATGGGCAGACAAGGACAAAGCATTCCGTTCTCGGCTAGTCTTTGATATCGATGGTAATGCCATCAGTGGACGCTATTACAAGCTACTGGCCTCAAAATCAACGCCCTTGAAACAGACATTATTGCGGGAGTGGCATGACGACCGTCTAGTTCCATGGGTGCATTATATACCCGTTAGCCAGAGCATGGAGGAACTACCCGAGCTGGTTTCTTATCTTACTTCAACCGAGTCTGGACGTCGGCGTGCAAAGGAGGTTGCTGACCAGGGTCGGGAATGGTTTTCACGGGCGTTTAGGGGGGTGGATATGACTATTTATATATACCGATTACTTTTGGAGTTGGCAAGGCTACAGGATCCTGAAAGACAGGCATCTTAAGCGCATTTTGATGTTAATTGTTAATTTTGAGTACTTTGCTGATACTGGTCTTGGAAATGGATACTTTTATATGCAGGAAGAAGTTATAAACTACTTTATCGAGGCGAAAGTGATGGACGCCTTTTAACAATCACAGTGCTTGTCTTGGTTCCTGGATAGATCAGCTCGTATTCAACAAAAATTGGTGAGCTGGAATTTAATTACGTGGCGAGCCAAACTGTCTCTTGAAGCTGTTTGACAATGGTATAGGTTCCCCTTTGACCCTTTAGGAGCTGACCAAGGGAGATACGAGGCAGCATCCTGGATGCTACGAAGTGCTTGACATCAACTACCTTACCGCCTGCTCTGACAGCTTTGATAGCTAGCTTAAATAGTGTTAGAGCCAGTGTTTGGTCAGCGTCTCAGATATGTGATGGGCCGTCGCCGCCACCCCCTGCGCCATTTCACTTAGGCACCAGACGGCCGATCGGTGACCAGCATATACAGATAAATAGCCATAGTATTGCCTGCTGTCTTGCAGGCCATCATTATTCATCATTCCTACGCCTATTTATCTGCTTTTCTAGTGCCCAGCTAGACGTTGAGGCATTCGTTTTGCTGCTCCGTTGTGTCTTAAGAGCTTCTGAGAGGTTATGACGCCCTTGTTCGATATCTAGTTAACACTAATACCAACGTTCAAACGACCCCCTTACGCACGCCGAAATGGTAGGAATACCAGAAACGAAGTCTTCTAATAGGCCTGGTAATGGTGAAATTCAATTGTATCAATTTCATTGGACAAAGCTCCCAGATACCTCCAGGTTGCAGCCACTGGGAGGCGTTCCAATATTGACGGATAAGAAAGATATCAAACGCTGGATGACGCACGTTATAAGAATGCTACGGACCCAATGCCTAGGCTACTTAATCGACGGCTCAATTACAACGCCGCCAGATAACGAGGCACATCTTGAACGATATAAATTAGCAGATGCCTACGTTACTCAGTGGATGACGAAACAGATATCTTACAAACTCTATAAACGGGTAAAGAACATCAATCTACCGATAGACACGGCGCAGAACCTATACAACTCCATTAGACAGACAATGCTGAAGACGTCACCAGCCGAGATAAGGAGGCGCTGGAAGACGTGGGTTACACTAGAAAGAGCGAACTTTGCAACCATTCCGCAATACATTGACGGACTACTAAAGTCCTATGAGAACCTGACAGACACGGGATATCCAGCCCCACCAATTGAGGCCGTCTACCGCCTCTTCTACGCTATCAGGGACGAGATGCCTCTCTGTGCCAACGACATCATTAACAAAATTGATGACATCAAACCAACAGAGGTCACGAAGGAACACCTCTTAGAGGCCTGCGCAAGGACCAGAGCAAGAGCTCAAGAGAGGTACTCACTACCTAGGTAACCGCATCAGGACGCAGCCCGGCCCGGCCATATCGAGTACGGCGGACTACCTAAAATGGACCATCGGGTCAAAATTCGGTTTTTAGATACCTAATTCTAAATAACACTTTTATGAGCTTGTTACCCCACTGTGCAGGCTACCAACGTTTTGACATCCAGCGTTCCGTTATACTATCAAGTCTGCAAGCCTATACAATGTGCTCACATATCAAATAATTTATCAACACAATACTCGCTAAATGTCATTGCTTATTGGCCATCGAGGGAAAGTCTCCGAGCACAAAGAATCTTTGGCTTGGTTCAATAACTAGTCGATCTGGGTTTCAGAACGTACGTTGCTTAACCGCGGCATTGAGGCAGAGAGCCTTGTCCTGGGACTTAAAGAAAGGGCACAGGGCAATAAGAAATACCTGGTACACAGAAAAGGGTTTATATCGATGGATTTATAGTCATAGCTCTAGTGTATCTTCCTTGAAAGGGTATGATAGTTGATCTTTGCAGTCGAAGTACAAAATATTGGATGGTTTCTGTTCAAAAATCAAACTGGGGGAGTTATGAGGTTGAAATTGAAAAAGGCCATGATTGGCTGAATTATTAACTTTTTATTAGCTGGATCCTGGATCCAAGGGATAGCAGCCAATGAGAGGCTGTTAATTAGCTAATTTTAGCAACCCTACAAACAAGCTATTCTTAACCTTATTTACTCCCTATTTCAGCCAATGAGCGTGAACTTGCCGTCAACAAAAGGTTGCTGTGCCATCTATGACGTAGACCTGTTTATATAAATATCAAGCCGAGTGCCCCCAAAGCCAGAGCAGTGAAATCACTCGAAGTGGGAAGGACGGGAAGCTATCGGTTATAAGGATCTCCTACAGAGCTTTATGCTACCTGAGAGACACAATGCCGTCAACCAAACATCCAGGGGCTTCTGACCTCGAAATACTCAACGAGCCCGACTGGACGCGAACACATAGTCACCGTGTTGGGACTCGAGGTCGTGATGCTCGGTTCATGGGCGTAACCCACAGAGGGGATGAGTATCATGATGAGCTTGAGGAAGTAGATGAAAAAATCCAAGAGCTACGTGAGAAAGTAGCCAGGGGAGAACTGGTCACCGTTCGTGACATTATGATCGACCAAAAGGTTTTATAACCACACTCAGCTTTATGTCATGCTAGCACCGGGTTAACCTTGTTGGCATTTAATTGGGGCTAATTATAGGCAGGATTTCCATTTGGAACGGCCTGAGGTGCACCCTGACTACTGGCGATATGTTCTCCATACCACAGAGAGCTTCATTAAGTATGGCCAACCATGGCCTATAAACCGGAAGACGGAGTCCGAGGAAAAGGGAAAGGTGACTGAGGCAGGCAAAAGAGAGCCAGAGAAAGAGAAGTCAAAACCCACATCGGAAGAAGAGGCTCTCTTAGAGTTCTTACGGCATGAACAACAGCACCGTTCGTCTATGCAGGTTAATGATGGGAAGGGGAGCTGTCCAATTCGTGATGAGACTCCTGAGAAAATCGATGAAGCGGATCAGTTTTCTCCAGACAATTGGATTCCTCGTAGTGACAAATTGATACGCCTGACAGGCAAGCATCCGATGAATGCGGAACCCGACCTCACTACTCTTTTTGAGGCTGGAATTATTACTCCTTCCCCCATTCATTATGTCCGCAACCACGGAGCCGTTCCACATCTACTATGGGAGAACCATGAACTAGAGGTTACTACTGACAAACATGTGATTTATTCGATGGATAACCTTAAGCTGTCCTTCGAAAGTGTTAATATACCCGTCTTCCTGGCCTGTGACGGGAGTCGCAGAAAAGAACTGAATATGATCAAAAGAACTCGAGCGTTCAATTTCACCGGTGCCTCTGCGAGTTGTTCGTACTGGAAGGGAGTTCTCCTTCGCGATGTTCTATTGGACGCAGGGGTTGAAAATCTTATGAAGAAGAAACCCAACGAAAGGCTATGGGTAAACTATGAGGGAGCAGACGAACTTAGTGAAGGCAAGTATGCCACCTGTGTCCCACTTGAATACGTCATGGATCCTATCAATGATTTGATGCTTGCGTACGAAATGAATGATCATCCCATTCCACCGGATCATGGTTACCCTCTGCGATTAATACTCCCTGGTTGGGTGGGAGCACGATCTATCAAGTGGCTGGCCAAAGTATGGATAACTGAAAATGAGAATGATAGCCATTATCATATCTACGACAATAGGCAGCTTCCAAGTTTTATAACGAACACGGAATCTGAGATAGCACAATTGATGTACCATCATCCTAGCACTATACGTAACGAGCAGATGCTGAATTCTATCATCGTGAAACCAGCTCAGGGTGAACAAATTGACCTAGTTGACGTCAAAAAGGGAACGATGTATAGGGTCATGGGGTTTGCCTACAGTGGAAGCGGAGACGAGATTGATAAGGTAGAGATTAGTCTAAACGGTGGAGAGACTTGGCTGTACTGTTCTCGCAAAGTGAGCCCCGTTCCCTCTTCTTTTATAGATATCAACAGCTAATATTCATAATCAAATAGTACCCGGATAAGCCAATTCGACATGGCAAAAAGTTCTGGACCTGGTTGCACTGGCATATCGACTTAGACATAACTAAGCTTATCCGTGCTCAAAGCATCCTAGTTCGAGCATTTGATTCACACAAGAACACGCAACCTCGAGAGCCAGTGTGGAATATCGCAGGGTGAGCAAAGCAAATGACCCTTCAGAAGACTTTGCTTCGTTTATTGTCATATATATTGACAGCTTGACAGAATGATGAACAATTGTTGGTATGAAGTGAAGCCGGAGATATTTGATAACCCAGAAAATGAAGAAACTTATCTTCTCTTCCGGCACCCTGTTGACGCAGGGAGTGGGACGAGTGGCTGGAGAAAACCGTCCACAGAGGAGCAGATGGAAGAGATTAAACGCAATGCGAGTTCGCCTGAGAAACAATTTACTCGACAAGAGATTGAAAAACATCATACGGAGACTGACTGTTGGATCGTTGTAAATGGTAATGTGTATGATGCCACGAAAGTCCTCAGCTGGCACCCAGGTGGTAAAGGAGCAATCATGGCTCATGCTGGGATTGTGCATTGGGATACGACGGAGGAATTCGGCAGCATACATGACAATTATGCCCAAGATAAGCTCAAGGGTATTTCCCCTCCCAAAGATCGAGGTGTGTATTCCTAGGACTCGCTTCTAATGGCATATAGAATGCATTCTAGGGAAGGTCACGCAGAAAGCAATGGATCATATGATGAAAGACACGGAACAGAAGAAAAATGAACGGCTGAAGTTGAGAGATAGAGACTCTAAGGTTGCCTTAGATAATCATAGGTATGACCCATCACACACCTACGTCGGGACCATTTATATTAATAGTCAACCTTTAGGTGGGTTCAAGCCAGGCTTGTCTCGAAAAAGGCCCTCTCTGCAGATACTAGGAGGTATACGTTTAAGCTTCCATCTCAAGCTACAGAGCTTGGTCTAGAAACTGGTCAGCACGTCCAAGTTGGGTTCCATTTCAAGGATAGCCTTGTTGTTCGCCCCTATACCCCTGTCCATCCTATCTTAAATGAGGAGTATGATGGGACATTTGACCTGGTTGTAAAGACGTACTTCCCAAATAAAGACCAGCCAGGTGGTACAATGAGCAACATCCTTGACTGTCTCCGCGACGGTGAAGAAGTTGAAGTTAAGGGCCCGTCAGGCGAAATAAGGTATCACGGTAACGGCTGTTTCAGTGTCGATGGCAAAGAGTATAATTTCGACAACGTCTCCCTCATACTGGGCGGATCTGGGGTCACTCCTGGCTACCAGGTGATCACAAAAATCCTGAGAAACGGCAATGACAAGACGAAGATTAGAGTCATAGATGGAAATAAGACGGAAAATGATATCCTGCTACGACAAGATCTAGATGAGTTCTCTCAGAAACATGGAGATCAATTTGAAATCGTGCACGTCCTTTCTAATCCCAGCAGCGACTGGAAGGGGCTAAAAGGTCATGTCAACGACGACATCATCAGGAAGCATTCTTTTGAACCAGGTAAGAAGAACGTCGCTCTGCTCTGCGGGCCGCCTGCAATGATACAGAAAGCTGTGTTGCCTGCTTTGACGAAATGGGGGTATAAAGAGGATGAGAATCTGTTTGGATTCTAGGCTTGTTGCTCGACATAGGATAACCATGCTCTCAGGACCTGCATAACATCCAACTTCTGTGCAAGTGAGGTATTATTATATAGTTTCTCGGTTTTGGCAATATAACTATTGAGAAGGTATAATGACATAGCTATCAATATCAACGTTAAAATCATCCGAGTAACCGCCAGTATGGCTTTATTCTGGCTTGACTACTGATTCTTGAGAATCAGCTAGTTGGCCTGACTTCTCGTAGGCAGGTGGTCACACGAATTACTAGCGGAAGCCCCTGAGCTGCCCTGGAAACTAGCAGGGCAGTTAATCCCCTAGAACTCACTGGCGTGGAAACGGAAACATGGAGCGAACGACTTGGGGTTCCGAGTTTTCAGGAAGCGCTGTTGGGGACGCACGTAGCAGATGTAGTCCATTAGTAGCTAGCTAGCAGCCACTGGCCTTGTGATTAACATCGGGATAGTTATTCGAAACATGTCAGTATCCTCTTCATGAGTTGGTTGACGGTGTTTTTGCTGTTCTGCGATCTCCGTCGCACCTACGGCTCTTGGAAACCATGTCACGTGTTGCATATCCCCCCTAACTAGTTATAATAGTTAGCTAACAAGTCCTTCAGGGCAAAGAGACATCGTGACATCGCCGGCCAGTGAATTGCATGTTTGGATAACGGCGAGGTGTGATACTCAGCCCCGGTTTCGATCTCGCCGAGTCTATCCTGTACCTTGCACAAGGCGGGCTTCGCCATCACGATCGATGCGGCTCACGCGACCACCATGAGGCTGCCCCGGTACTTCTACAGGAGGCTGCGCCGGCTCCCGGTCGCCATGGCCTTAGTGGCCATTCTATGGAGCTTTGCTGAAGTTCTCTGGGTCGAGCAGGCTCTCGTCTACCAGCTCCAGTCTGAGCCTAGTTCGCTGGGAGACGAGAAGATATACATCACTGGGATACATTGGAACAACGAAAAAATACTGCGGGAAGCATGGATACCTGCCCTTGTTGAATTGGTCCAGGCCATCGGTCGAGATAACGTCTTTGTCAGTCTTCATGAAAGCGGTAGCTGGGACGACTCAAAGGGCCAGCTACGTTATCTGGACGCAGTGCTTGCTCAAAATAATATCCCGAGAAGAATACTGCTCAATGATACAACGCATCTCGATGAAATTAGCAAGCCCCCTGCTAGCTCGGGCTGGATTGAAACTCCGACTGGCCAGACCGAGCTGCGTCGGATACCATATCTCGCCAACTTGCGCAACTCAGTCATGGAACCGCTGTATGAATTGAAGGAGGCTGGCATTGTTTTTGACAAAGTTCTATTCTTGAATGATGTGGTGTTTAATGTGAGGATCTCTCCTCATATATCCGTTTCTTACCTACTAACGTACCTATAGACTTTGGATATCCGCAGACTGCTATCAACTAGAGGAGGTAGATTTGCAGCAGCATGTTCTCTTGACTTCTCAAAACCTCCAAAATTCTACGACACATTTGCTCTTCGGGATTCTGAAGGCCACGACCAGCTCATGCAAACATGGCCTTACTTTAGATCCCGGGTATCCCGACGGGCGATCAAGTATAGCGAACCTATCCCTGTAAAGAGTTGCTGGAATGGAGCAGGTTAGTGATTTTATCACCCAATGTAACAGTGTCTTGTGTGAAATCCAAGCTAACACTGCATTATTCAGTGGCGATGGACTCTTCTCCATTTTACCAGGATCCTCCATTGAAATTCAGAGGTATCTCCGATGGCCTTGCAAAGTCACACCTTGAAGGATCGGAATGCTGTTTGATTCACGCAGATAACCCCTTGTCAGACAACAAGGGTGTATGGCTAAACCCAAACGTGCGGGTGGGATACAATATCCCTGCGTATACTGCAGTTAACCCAGAGAAAATGTCATGGCTTTCGACCTCTTCTATTCTTAGCGGTCTATGGAAAAACCGGATCTTGCGATGGTTCACGACTCCATGGTTCACAGAGTATACAGTTCGGAAACGACTATCCCAGTACCAAAGAGAAGGCCCTGGAGACACGGAGGCTGGCTCCTTCTGCCTTATTAATGAAATGCAAGTTCTTGTAGCCAACGGCTGGGCTCACCGATAGAAATCCGATATTAGAGACGGTAGCAGTATGCATCTAGACGGGAGGTGGTTGGTTTTGTCTTAACATTTTTCGCATTTAGGGCAGCATTTATACCCTGGAACCATGCTCAGCACCCTGCCCCGTTAATCAGGACTAGGCACGGAGGAGGGAGGAGTTTTGTTTGAATTACAGGCCAAAATAGAGGTTTAGAGCAAAGTCGATTTCAGGCACCATTTTTCATTTGGTGTGATTTCGTTTATTTTTATGATTTATTTTTTTTTTTCCCCTGTTGGTAAGGGTAACTATGGATAACTAGTTAAGGAGGCGCGCCAGACCTAGTGGTGGAACAAGCGGATGCGCTGCTCAACAAAGACAATTCCAAGCTTCTCAGCAGTTTCGAACACTGGGCCGTCGTTCTGGCTGCCGCTCGGTGCGGCCATGTACTTGACGCCGGATCGGGCGGCGCGGAAAACATTGTCAATGAATGGGAACTACAGTTATACTCGTTAGCTTTTGGTTCAAAACACGCAGAAAGGAAAGAGGGGCATACGAAAGCGTCAGAAGAGATGGCGACTTCAGTAAGCTTCTGCAGCCATGCCTCGCGCTCCTCCGAGGTAAAAGGAGCGGGAACCTCCTCAAACACACGCTCATAATCCGCCTTCTCGACGTCGGAGCGTGGTATCTGGCCGGAGCACAGCATATCAATTGCATTGCTCTTGTCTGCCCGCTTGACGCCAGCCTTCCATTTGATACCAAGGGTTCGCTCGTGGAATCTCATCCACCAGTTATCCGTCTTGTCGCCCGCCAGACGGGTGCAGTGAATTCGGCTCTGCTGGCCCGCGCCTAGACCAACTACTTGTCCATTGACGGCATAGCAGACGGAGTTGGACTGCGTGTATTTCAACGCAATTGTTGCAACGGTCAGGTCTCTTAGTGCTCCCTCGGGTAGTGAGCTCATGTCCTTGGGCGTAACGATCTTGTTGAATGTGGTCTTTGGGGAGATGTTGGCATCATTTCGGCGCTGGGAGAGCTGTACACCGTAGACAGATCGGGTCTCTTCGTCGGGGGGAGTGTAGTTCTCGTCCATCTGCAGGACAAGGTATTTGCCGCCCTTCTTCTTGGACAGAATCTCAAGGGCCTCGGGGGAGTATCCGGCGGCAATCACGCCGTCTGATACCTCACGAGAGATGATCTTTGCGGTAGGAACGTCAACCACATCCGACAGGGCAATGACATCTCCGAAGCTGGACATCCGGTCAGCACCTCGTGCACGAGCATATGCCTGTGCCAGACCTGATTCATTAATCCCCTGGATGTCATCGACCATGTATGCCTGTTTCTCCTTCTCATTCAGGGGTACTCCAATGGCAGCTCCCGCAGGCGAGACGTGTTTAAAGCTAGCTGCAGCAGGGTATCCAAGGGCCTGCTTCAACTCCTTGACCAGTGGCCAGGCATTCAAGCAGTCAAGCAAGTTGATGTATCCGGGTGCTCCGTTCAATACCTTAAACGGGAGTTTGCCATTCCTCATAAAGGCAGATGCAGGGGCCTGGTGGGGGTTGGCTCCGTAACGCAGCTGGATATACTGTGACCCCTCACCAGCATACTTCTTCCTGAAAAACCCAGAGATGGCCTCGTCGTAGTCAGCCGTATGCTCGAATGCCTTCAGAGCATACAACTTTCGAGTTTCCTCGGTCACGCCGCCGCTGGCCAGCTCCTTCAAAAAGTTGGTATAGTCCGAAGGATCGCTTAGAATAGTCACGCGAGCATGGTTCTTTGCTGCTGCACGCAACAGAGTCACTCCTCCAATGTCAATCTCCTCCACTGCACCTTCAACGGTCACATCGGGCTTTGCGACAGTGTCCTTGAAAGGGTACAGGTTGCACACGACGAAGTCCACCTTCGCAATCTTCTGGTTGGCAAGGTCTTGCTTGTCGGATTCGATGTCGCGTGCCAGGATACCACCATGAACAGCTGGGTGGAGGGTCTTCACACGGCCACCCAGCATCTCTGGGGCTTTCGTTATCGACGAAACGTCACTGCCAACAGCCCCAGTGTCAGATAAGGCTTTTTTTTCACCTTCCATTTTCACCAGATTTAGACTCACTCAACGGCAATGCCAGCATCTCTGATCATCTTAGCTGTGCCTCCAGAAGCTACAATACGGACATTCTGCTCGACAAGGCCCTTGGCCAGGTCCAGCAGACCCGTCTTGTCGTATACAGATAGAATAGCTATGCGTGGAGCCAAAGTTGTGACTCTTAATTAGCTACATGTGCAAACCCGATCTGTCTCCTCGCCTTGTCGTAACGGGGAAGAGGACTTACCTGACTTTTGCTCTGCCATTGTAACGAAGGACGCGAAGATGGCCTTTCAATTGACTGGAACAGAAGAAGAGAGGAAGAGAGAAAAAAACCCTGGGATGGGATGATCTGACGAGATGTCGACGACCCCGCTAATATGCGCGCTTATTCCGCGAAGTTCTAAGTTTATTTTAGGTTTAAACAACTCGCAATTTGAATATCTTGGCGCGTAGTCGCTCCTCCGATTGGTGGCTCGGAGCCCCACACACAATGTCAATAACAACATCCCACTTGGAGTTATCGCAAATATAGCAATGCTGTTATGGATTGCTTGTACTGTACTTATAGCAGGGTGTGAAGCAAGCTTATTATTAGGCTACTGCTTATTATATATCATTGGTGCTGAACAATTTAAACGAGAGTATCGGTGAGGAGAAAACATCTGAAAACCTTGAGTGGGAAGGAGTGTGGCCATATTTATCACCAGCATGGGCACTTGTCCGTGGCATGTCTGGTGACAGGAAATAAGATATACCAGGTGGCATACTATCGACGTCACTAATGGTTGAAAACGCCTCCAAGGTTCTCCCAGCCTGTTTGTGATGGCCCCCATCGCCCACTCCAGGATTTGTGGTACATTGCATTGTTGGTCCCAAGCCCGAAGATATCCAAACGGCCACTTGCCCAGGAGCAGGTTGATGGGCCACTGCTGAAAACACCGCCAAGGGCTTCCCATCCACCCCATCGTGAGCCATCCCACCATTTGTGATACATCTGATTATCAGTCCCTGTGCCGAAAATATCTAGACGGTTTGCACCCCAAGCAACGGCAGATGGAGGGCTACTCAAAACACCTCCAAGATCCTCCCATCCTAGCTGAGATGGGCCCCAGGCTTGTCCGTCCCACCACTTATGGAAAAGTCCGTTGTTTGTTCCGATACCGAATATGTCGAGACGGTTCTCAGACCAAGAGACCACAACAGGATAGCTGTTGAATACTCCGCCAAGTGCCTCCCAGCCAGAAGCTGAAGGACCCCATCTGGATCCATCCCACCATTTGTGATACATTTGGTTGTCAGTTCCGATTCCAAATAGGTCAATTCGGTTAGCTCCCCAAGAGACAGCCGCAGGCTTGCTGACGAACACACCCCCGAGGTTTTCCCAACCGGTCTGAGAAGGCCCCCAGGCTCGTCCGTTCCACGATTTATGATAGCAAGCATTGTCTGTTCCAAGTCCAAAGATGTCAAGGCGGTTTTCTCCCCATGAAATGGCAGTTGGCTCACTGCTGAATACTCCACCAAGGGCTTCATATCCAGTCTGTGAAGGGCCCCAGGCTTGTCCGTCCCAGTATTTATGGTACATTTGGTTATCGGTTCCGAGTCCGAATATGTCAGTTCTATTCTCACCCCAGGAGACGGAAGTTGGCTCGGCAGAGAAAACACCGCCTAAATATTCCCATCCAGTGGTAGATGGACCCCAGGCGCCGTTCCACCATTTATGATATAAACCATTGTTCGTCCCAAGGCCGAAGACATCAATTCTTCCTGACGACCAAGAGATGGCTGAAGCAGCAATCTGGTTCAGTAGTGGGAGAGCGTTCTCCGCAGCCTTTCCAAGACGCATCTTGATGGCTCTTTGCTATGACTCGTATACCCTTTCTGGATAGTTGGTAGTTATCTAAGATAATGTCAGAGCTCACTCCAAGGACACTAGCTCATTAAGGTAGTATTAGGGTAGGGGATGAACTTGCTGGCAGGTGTATAAAGGTAATGCAGTCTCCCCTCAGGAGCTTGAAGCCTAGGAAAGGGATAACCTCAGTTGCGGGCAGCGATTGCAGTATTTAAGCCCCGCTGTGCTCCCTCGTTACAAGGAGGACTGGCCAGGTTGGTAATCTCAGGGTTACTTTTCAACTTTTCAGCCATCTTTCCCAAGGTGAGACTACGCCAGGGATACTCCCTGTGCTGCCCGACAGATGCCTGAGGAGCCTTTGGATCCGGGGTCTAAGACGATAGGTTCATGTCTCTAGCCGTCTTCTTGCAGTTCATTCCTATCTGGCTTGGGATTTATCGCTTATTATCCCCTAAACGAGTGATTGCTGCTGGCGCAACGTGCCTGAAGTCAAACTGAACGGTATAGCCGATGCATATATAGCGCAATGTGAGGGTATATATGCATTACAAGTCCATATGATATTGTCATCATCTAGATTTTTGAAATCCGCCTAGGCCCTCCTGTCTCCTGTCGGCAAATCTATCTTCTCCGGGTATCACAAAACTCATGCCACCCTGCTGCATGGAGAGGCTATTTTCTAGTGAGTAAATTGCTCACTAGGTGTTCTTTAGAAAAGTATATGTTTTCAATTGGAGCAGTATTTCCAAAATGAAGGCAGGTTTCCGCGGGGAATTCTAACAAGTTATGTGACCCACAATCTTACCACTACCTCAAATAACTATTTTACCCTGCGGTTATAAAACTGGTATAACAACAAGAAACCCAGCTTGAGCTCCAGCCTGACACCAAGACACTCAGCACTAAGTACGAGTAAAACATGTTCAACTTCGGGTAGCCCTTACCCGCTGGGTTATTGGTAACAAAGAAAGGGGTGATGGCCACCATGCCATGATCTACAGACACCATGTTCGCCCAAGCTGCAGCTGCTACGCTCACATATTACCAAATGCCAACGATAAGCTGGTCGTACCGTGGAAGTACCCCGTTCACCCGTTCTTTTTATTTCCCCGCTATTTGAATAACGGCCAACTGAATGTGATTATTCAACTCTTTAGCGAAACACATCAAATCAGAGATGCCTTTCCACCCCCGTCCCTGGCTACAGGCTGGAGAATGGATGGATGGGAGCATGTTATTTAGAGTGAGAATGACATAAAGTAAAAGGTAATTTGATTCCCTGGACTCGAAGGCCGAGTCTAATTGAAAGTAGTGCATATATTTCCCAGGACCTGGAAAGCATAATATCATCGTAACTCATCCATTATTACAGGGGGTACCGAGCATACAGTCTCCTTATAAGCCAGGGCTGAACTCAATTATACTCTTTCAACCCCTCCTTTGATGTAACTATTTGTACTTGCACCCTCTCTAAAGGAGTCACAGCATCACAATACCGCCCAGAATCAAAACACAGGATATATCAGCTGCTGTGGGACCTTGGACCGTCAGCTGAAGTCACATCACCTTCACAGTCCCTGGAAGCGAAGAGATGGAAGTACTCGGAGGGTTTGCTCGGCCTGCATGCACCCAATGGCTCTTAGCTCACGTCGCATCATGGTTGATGAGTCTGGTGTTGCCGTGGGAAAGTAAACAACAAGACTGTGGTTATCTGCGAGTCTTTCAAATGAGGGTATGCCCAAGTGTGGCCTGCGCCGGCGATCATCCGCGTAGTTAGCGACTTTATATGTCGATTGCATAAACCAAACCAAGGGCAATGCGTTAGGCTTAGGTTGGATCCCGAACTCCCCGAATGTGAGCCATTCATGCGTGCAGTGTCAATCTGCCGCTGCCGGGAATATCGGAAGGGATGCAGCTGTATACTTAAGCAAATCCGCGAAGCGAGAGGTACAAGATTTCCCATCTCACATGGCCAATCAGCCTGTAAACTCTGGCTGGCACGGTTCAGCTAATCTGTGCTTCCTGGTCGATAAATGGTGGTGCAAATTTTCCATAATTTCTAACACCGAGTGTACGCCAGTTATATGGGTACTATCTTCATTTTCAAAATGATATCGTGTATTGTTCCTCGGGCTAAGTAGGGTCTCGGGACGACTTGGGCTGTTTTCACTGCATCTTAACCTCCTGTGTTATTTACCCAGGGTCAGGAGGTTTGGCCCTTCATAGGATTATCACTCGACCTAGTATACAGAAAGCATACAACCTTACGATGAAGGCGTATTATGAATATGTTTTGAGTGATGTTATCGTCAGAGAGACCCGGAGCATGTCGCCTGATGGGGCTTCAGCCGTCGATTGATTCCATCATGCTGCGGTCCAAAAAATAAAATAAAAATAAAAATTATCCATGTTTATAAGACGCAGCAGTCCTCCTACAGCAAATTCATTGTCAGTATAAAACAACGAAATGGGCTTTCCTGAGTGGCTTCAATGCCTGCTGCTGTGTTATAATAGGGATCCGCCGATGTGCCAGTGCCAGTGCCAGTGCCCATTGCCAGGATGAGATCACCCACTATGCCGGAGGGCACCTGGACGAAATTGCCCAGTAGTTATCCTTCTGCCGGCCATCTTAATTCCAGCCGTCTTCGGGTCTGAATCAGCAACATCGACATCAACAATTGACATCAACATCGACGTCGTCGACATGGTCAGAGTCTCTTCTCGAGTGTTATTCAAGCTTAATTTTATTTATAGCGCGCCAAGACCGATCAAGCGCGAAGCCTCGAGCGCCCGAAGGATCTCCAAGCCTCGCAGGGCCTTTGGCTGGCGATCGTTTGGGCGCTTGAAACCAGGAAAAGAGCAGAAAAGAAAACACCACGAAGCCATCAGTGTGTGAGTGGGCGCGATACAGAGAGCAAAGGCTGCGGACTATTCCATTCGTTGTGTCGGAGTTGGCATCTTCGCTCTGACTCGTTATATGACTACATACCAACCGCCTCCCTAACAACCGGACCAGGCAGCGACAAAAGTCCCGAAGCTGAATCTTGAATTCGTAATACGAATAGACAAAAGACCTGAACGCTGGCGACTCCTGCGACGAACTGGAGATATAGAAGTACGCGTCACGCTGGGAATGATGCGCTGAAGCGAGATTATTTATCTCCTTCTCCTCCCTACCGGATCTCCTGCCTCGCTCGCTCTCCCGAAGCAGCCGGCTCAATTCCCAGAAACATGGCTGCAGCACATAACTCGACGCCGGAGACCCTCACGGCGCCCCTCATGGCAGGCGAACGGTCTTCTCCTTCTCCTTCGCCTTCGCCTTCTCCCTCGTTGGGTTCGGTTCACCCGCCGTGGAGTCGACCGCATACCGGTTTAGGCAGAGACAGGAGACGGAGCTCTCTATTTGGCATGCCT